CACTACAGTGCTGTCTCATCCCCCTCTCCTGCAAACCCTCCCTGGGTCCTAGCTGGTGGCACCACCTCCTGGCTGGCCTCCAGGATACAGGGGTGTGTGGAGGACGACAACGCAGATGAGGACAAAGGAAAACATCCCTCTTTCCCTTATTCTCTTTGTCAGGTTTCCTAGTTAATTTTCTGCTGCTTTTTTTCTGCTAACCGTATGTTTGGTTCTTATTATTCTTGAGAGCCCGGCAAGCTACTGAGAGTATCTCGCCCTCACGACAGAGCCTGACAAGCTACCCATGACATATTCGATATTCCAAACACAGTAACAAGAAGTCTCACAATGGAGACGTTACTGGGCCCACTCGAGCAAATCAATGATCACCAGGAGGACAGTGCTATGGTTTTGATTTCTGGGCTGTACAGACAGTGGTGCTCATGGGTCACTCCCAGGGGTACTCGGGGGACCACCTGGTGCCACGGCTGGAACCCAGGCCCGCTGCGTGTGAGGTCTGCTCACGGAGCGTCTTCCTGGCCCTTTTATTACATCTATTTGCTGTACACGTGTACGTTTAACTCTCAGGCACCATGGTTCACGATCATGTTCTTGTGGGTTTCTCGCATAGATCATTCTGGCACCTCTCCTCCACCAGAGGGTCCACTTCCTTCCACCTTTGTCCCAGTGTCCCAGTCCCCACCTCCCCCAGCCTCTTGTGGTGAGCATCTTACTAAAACACAAGTTTTCAAAAGTTTCTGCTGCTTTGGGGCTTCCGTTACTTCTCTCGGAGCGATGCTCTCCAGATCTATCCATGTGGCCTCGAATTGCTGATTTTGTCTTCCCTTACAGCCCAGTAATATTCTATTATATCTGTATGCCCTTGTCTCTTTTTCCAGGCACCTGTTCTTGGGCACTTGGGTTGTGTTTAGATTTTGGCTAACGAACGTAGGAGTGCAAATGTCTTTTCTGAATGGAGGGTTTTGGCCCATGAGGTAGAGGCCAGGAATTGGAACTGCTGGGTCACATGTCAGCTCACTTCCGCGTTTTTTTGTTTTATTTATTTATTTTTTTTGAGAAATGTTCCTATTGTTTTCCAAAAAGGCTAGACGAGTGTGCATTCCCAGCAACAGCGAGCAGGGGTACCTTTCCCCCACTCTCACGGAACACTTGCTTTCGTTCTTCGTTCTTGGTGACGTGTGCCTGTCTCACTGCTGTGTGATGTTATCTCGTTCTTGTTTGGATTTGCCTTTCTCGGATGATTGCTGATCGATGATGACGGTGATCAGTGATTGATCGCTGCTCGCTGATGAGTCATCAGAGAGCAGATGATGATGTTCTCCTCTGGTCAGAAATAATCAACAGAACATTGTTTTCGTGTACCTTTTGGCCATCCCTTTATCTTCTTTGAGGAAGTTTCTGCTTATTTCTTGCCCTGTTTTTTGATAGAGTTGGCCGTTATATTTTAAAGAATGATCTGTCTTAGGGCTGGAGTGACAGCCCAGTGGGGAGGGTGCTTACCTTGCATGTGGCGGACCAGGGTTTGATCCCCGGTGTCCCCTATGATCCCTCAAGCACCACCAGGAGAAACTCCTGAGCACAGAGCCAGGAGTACTGGGCATTGCCGGGCAGGACTGAAAACAAACAAACAAACAAAAACAAACAAATGTCTCAAATGGCCAAGAGGGGACTGGAGTGATAGCACAGCAGGTAGGGTGTTTGCCTTGCACGCGGCCGACCCGGGTTCAATTCCCAGCATCCCATATGGTCCCCTGAGCACCGCCAGGGGTAATTCCTGAGTGCAGAGCCAGGAGGAACCCCTGTGCATCACCAGGTGTGATAAAAACAAACAAACAAACAAACAAACAACTAATGGCCGAGAGGTTAAATAATGACCTGTCCTTTCAGAAATCCCTGTTGCTCTTACATTTTGAGGACAAAATCCCATCTTTCTTGTGCCATGTTCCTTTTTCTTCGTGTTCCCCATGGCAAGGGATGTTACTGGCAGTATTTATTTGGCTAGGAAGAGCTGCAGAACTAGAATTCTTTTTCAAGAGTCCAACGCTGTGTGGCTCCTTCCTACTTCCCTCGACCCCAGCCCTTTCCCCTGAGGGTTGGTGCGGACGTGGCTTCCCACCAAGCATCTCCCGTGCCTTACCCCGGCCACAGTGGATGCTGCCTGGGCTCCATCCTGGGGCAGGGGGCCGCAGAGACCAGCCAGCTGTGGGCTCTTCGCTCTAAGCATTCGGCCTGTAAGACTGTGTGTGTGTGTGTGTGTGTGTGTGTGTGTGTGTGTGTGTGTGTTTGTAGATGGGTCCTGTGCACAGAAGTGTGTGTACATGTCGTGTGTGCACATGTGAGCACGTATGAACCTGTCTGCACGTGGGACCAGAGTGATGTGTGTCCCGAGGAGGGGCCAAGCAAAGCCCACCCCCCTGCAGGCCCCTGCGCCCCACGGGGCTGTTCCAAGGTTGTGTGGGTCTGAGGGGTAGGGGGTGGCGGGGGGCGGGGGTGCACAGCCTTTTCCCTTGAAGCTCTACAGGACCAGCAGGGAGGCAGGATTCATGCCCTGGAATGCAGCGGAGCCTCTGGGGGCTGTCCCCACCCTTCTGATTGCCCTGTGTTTGCATGCCGATTTGTTTGAGTCGCGTGGGGCTCGTTCCTTGTTGCAGTGTTTCTCGAACATCTTTGGAAAAGGCTTCAAAGCGCGTCGGCCGCATTTGATGAGCTGAAGGGCCTTCCGGTTTCAGGCGGCAACTTTCGCTGGCCCTGCCCCCGTGGCACGGCTGAGGGCCGATGATAACGGCCCCGCTGGGCCGTCTCCCACACAGGAGCATTCAGGCTCTGGCCTCATGAGCATCTCAGCCGGAGGGCGGGAAACACCTGCTCCCAGGACAGCAAAGGGGCCTCAGCTGGGTGGGATGAGACCCTCGCGGTTGTTCTGTCTGGGATGTCTCTGGGAGGTGACTTGGCAGGGGAAGTGACTCATCCTTGCCGCGGGTGAGCCAACTGTGGGCACTGCCAGGCCCTGGCCCTGGAGACAGGGAACAGGCGCGCCGAGGGGAAGGACCGAGAGAGAAAAACGAAGAAACCGCACGCTCCCAGGCCACCCTCCCTCGGTTCATAGGTCACGAAAGAGCATGAGATTGCCTGACGCAAACCTCTAGCCGGTGCGATAAAAACCCGGTGAGCGGCGTCCAGAATGAGGAACTCCGGAGCACATCGGCCCTGACAGAGGAAGCCCGAGAGAGGCTTGAAAGAAAATGAAAAGAAACGAAAGCTGCCAGCCGCTGAGAACGGCCACCTCCGGGTGAAGGCAGATGACAGCGCTGACAGGCTCCTGTCACGGCTCGTGCAGAGATGACAGCTCCTGATAACGGCCGTTGAAGGGCGTGGGCCTGCACACGCTTTCACATCCTGTTCGCGGGAGGAAAATGGCCCGGCTCCTCCCGGGAGGGCAAAGTAGAAGAAAAATAAAGCGACTACGTTGCTCTCCCCAGAGAGATTTTTTTTTCCCCCTTTTTGGGTCACACCCGGCAATGCCTAGGCCTTGCACTCAGGAATTACTCCTGGCAGTGCTCGGAGGACCATATGGGATGCTGGGAATCGAACCCAGGTCCCCAGGTCGGCCGCATGCAAGGCAAACGCCCTCCCCGCTGTGCTATGGCTCCAGCCCCTTCCAGAGATCTCTTCACACTGGCTGATGGCTCTCAGCCCGGGGGTGCTTCACAGGTCCTGCCCTGAGCGGGTCCCCAATACCACCCCCTCCCAGAACCTGCCACCACCCCCCGCCCCAGCCTGCTCGGAGCAGGGGACCCCATCCCCACCTACCTGAGGAGGAACAAAATTTATGACCACAGCCATCAGTCCGGGCTGTCCCCAGAGACGGGGCTGGCAGCGACTGACACCGTCCAGCCCCAGGGAGGGCTGTAGGCCACGCAGCGTGGACTTGGGAAGAGCATTTGGGGTGGGACAAGCAGGATCCACACAGCGAGATGGACCAGGCCTGGGTACAGAGTGAGGCGTGCTTCATTCAGGGACAATTCACGCGGCACGGCTGTGAGCCCCAGATGCCGGGTGCTAGGAAACGGGAGAGGAAGATGCTTCCGGGAGAGAGAGACTTCTCTGCCCCTTGCAGGTCTTTCTCCCGCAGAAACACAAATGTCTGAGGGCACGCAGGGGATGCAGGGCTGAGGGAGTGGAATGCTTCGGGGCTGAGGGGAGCGCCACGTGGGGGAGTGGGGAGAGCGTGGGGGGAGGGGGAGGTGAAGGAACAGTCCCAGCGAGGAGAATAACCCCCCGCAGACCCCCAGCTCCCTCACCCCTGGGAGCAGTCACTCTCTGAAGGGGTGGGTGTCTGCGGCCAGCGGGCTCCCAGGGCGGCCTCCTCACGACCCCCTCCCGGGGTGCCTCTCTCCACGAGACAGTGAGAGACGCTTCCTCTTCCTCACACTGGTGACCCCTGGGCCAGAGCAAGGGGGCTCCCAGGGAGAGAAGGGGGGTCCCCAGAGCAAGGTGGGCTCCCAGAGAGAGAGGGGATCCCCAGAGCAAGGTGGGCTCCCAGGGAGAGAGGGGGTCCCCAGAGCAAGGTGGGCTCCCAGGGAGAGAAGGGGTCTCCAACACATCCCCCTCCAGCTCCAGGGGCTCATTCACCAGCAGGAGAAATCTGGGTGTTTGGAAGGTGGTGACCAGCTTTAGCGACAGTGAACCCGGTGGGGTCACATCTGCAGGGAGGGAGCCCTAAGAGGGGGTGGGGTGGGCTTTGGGGGTCTCTCCGCCCCAGCTGCCTCGGAGCCCTTCTCAGCAGCTCCTCTCTCTGCAGAGGGGCGCGTGCAGAACCCAGACCAGAGCTGCGGCCTTCTGGGGCCCCAAAGACCCAGTCATGGTTTCCTGACGCTCCCTGCTGGCCCGGGCCATGGGGCAGGAGTGGGTTGGGGCGGGTCGGTCAGGGCTATGGGGCCCAGACTTAAGGAAAAGGCTTTCTGGCACGTTCTAATGAAGGCTTTGGTCTGTCGCAGGTTCCGGAACTGCGTCTACACCTACAGAATCTTGCCCAATGAGGAGGGTAAATTCACCGTCCAGGTAAGCCCGAGGGTTTCAGGGAGCACTGGGAGGTGCAGAGAGGGAGGAGGAGGAGGAAGAGGAGGAGGAGGAGGAGGAGGAGGAGGAGGAGGAGGAGGAGGAGGAGGAGAACCCACAGGATGGCTGCAGTCTCTCGACCCCCAACCCCTGGGAACGGGGGACGACGCTTGTCTCCCTGCAGAGTACCCGGTGCCATGACCCAGGGAGCAGGGTCAGGTGGCCAGGAGAGAGTTTGTGGGTGACGGTCAAGGGAAAGTGAGGAAAGGGAGGCAGCGGGAGGCAGTTTCTCTTCCGTGAGCTTGGAGGAGTGGCGGGAACAGAGCCCGAAGCGGGGGTGGGGTGGGGTGAGGGAGCCCAGGCCGGGCTAGCACCTTGGGGAACTGACCCCCCCCACCCCCGGCCACCCGGGAAGCCTCCAGCAGCCCCAGGTCAGCGTCCAGGGGGTCCCAGCCGTGGTGGAGGTATAGAGCCGGACACCCCCAACGCCACGTGTGGGTGCCGTTTGCCTGACAGCCACCGAGGCTTTGTGTGACCACAGTGTGTGAAAGGGCCTGGGAGGCGGCCCCAGAAGTTATTTTTATCGAATGGCGCTGAGCGCACAGCTGGTGGCCGGGCCGTGCTCTCGGGGCAGGGATGCCGGGCCGGGGACAGGGCTGTGCCCCCGTGTGCCAGAGGAGGAGCGGCCACGTGACCCAGGGGTTTCTGTAGACAGGACAGTGGCCGAGGGGGGCCTGAGGGGGTCACGGTCCCTTACCCCCACGACCACAAGGACGATGCATTGGGCAGAGCTGGCCTTGGGGAGAGCCGAGGAGGCCCCCGGGCACTGTGTGGGGCTTCAAGAAGAGACACCTGGGCTCTGAGTGTAGACAGACCCCAGGGGGGCCACACAGATGAGACCCGGAACCGTCAGCCTCCCGGGACCTTCCTGTCGGGGGTTGGGGGGTACATTGTGGGAGGGGCAGGGCCCAGCCGACACCCTAGAACCAGCCCCTGGCGAGCCTCTCCAGCGCCCGCCTGGGGTGGGCCGGGATCTCCGCCCTCAGAGCACTGCACCCCTGAAGGAGCCTGCACGGACAACCTTGGGGCCGCCAGTGGGCTCCCTGCCCTGGCCCCCGCGGTGGGAAGTGGCCAGTCTGCCGGCCGGGCCTGAAAGGAAGGCGTGTGAAGGCGAGTCCCTGGCCGGCCGGCGCCTCTGCCCTCTCTGCTAGCTTCTGACCTTCCTTCCTCCAGCTCCCGGCCACACCCACGGCCTGACCAGCAGGCCGGTCTGTCCAGCCGCTTCAGAGCCAGGCGTGTCCTGCCTTTGGCAACCCCGGAGGAGGGTCACCGGCTCTGGCTGACGCGTGCAGGGCGTGGGCGGCTTTTGTGGGTTCACAGAGGAAGGACCTGGGGGGCCCTGCGCGGCCTCACCGGGATAGACTCCGGGAGGGGGGGAGCACCTGCTCAGACCCAGACCTCCCCACACACACCTGTCCTGGGCCCACGCAGGTCACCCGAGTGGGGGGAGCCCCACCCGACAGCCGCCCCGACCCAAGTGACGCCTCCCAACCACCCCACCCCCGGGCCCCTGGGACGTGGAGGCGCTCGCTGGCTCGGGGCTCCGGCGAGCCCAGGCCGGGCTCGTGACGCCTTGTCTCAGCCCAGTTCCTCTTTTCTCGCGGTGTGAAACCTCACGCTCTTTTCTGAGCTCGGCCGCAGTTTCTAAATAACTCAGCCGCCGCGTCGCTGGGCGCTGGGGCTCCCCGTGGAGGTGCAGCTGGGCCCGCCCCTACCCCAGCCTCGTCTCTGAGGCCTTCCTGGGACCTCCATACCCAGGTTGGGGGACGTGAGCCTGGGGGAGCCCCACTGCCCCGCCCCGCTCCAGACAGGGGTCCTCCCGGCCCACCCTTCTCCCTTCGGCACCCCCCGGCATTGTGTGACTGGCTGGACAGGGACCCCCTTCCCCAGGAAGGACAGGGGAAGAAGGGCCTTGTCCCTGCAGAGGAGACCAAGGGGCTCGTCCAGGGGGGGGGGTGTCCATCCTGCCTTCCCTGGGGACCCTGGGCTAAAGCAGACCCTGCCCTCAGGCCGGACGACGCGGGCCCTGGTGGGGCCCGGACAGAATGCAGGGAGCCCCCACCCAGCCCCCGTGACACCGCCCCCCCTTAGTACCAGGACGGCAGAGGAAAGAAAGTGAAGAGGAGGGGAGGGAGGGGAAGAGGGGAGGGGGGGCTAGGTCAGTGCTGGGGGTCTGTTTCCACAGAATAGCGGGCAGGAAGGGGCCAGGAAAGTTCTAGAGGTCCGGGGGATGATCCCCTCACCACTCTCCCACCCTGAGGACTTTCTGGGGCCCAGCTTGCATGCCGGGCCTTGGGGGGCACTGACCACAGTGGGGGTCCTGGGGTGGCGGGGCTGCAGTCCCGGGGTCTGAGCCCCTCCCCCGCCACCACTGGGCTCTCCCAATGCCTCAGAGGGAGGACACAGGGGCCTGTGAGTGGACAAGACTGGGCTGGGGTGTCCGCTGCCTTCCGACAGGCCCCTCTTAAGCAGGCAGGGTGGGGGGTGCGGGGCGAGGGGCTGAAGCCCCCCTACCCCCCCCCCCCCGGCACCTGTCAGCTCCTCGCTGGGCAAGTGGGAGACAGAGGCAGCCACCCACACACACATTCCGCCTCCTGCCTTATCCGCTGTGAGTTTCCGGTCCGGGCAGGGCGGAGACTGTGTCCAGGAGACTGACTGAGAGCCAGACAGGAACTGGCCGCCGGCCTGACCGCCAGTGGGGATGGGAGCTGGGACTCAGCCCCCACCACTTGGGCCGAGACTCAGCTCTGCGGCAGCCCGGGGAGCCGGGCCGCTGTCCTTCCGCTCAGGAAGAGGGTGGCAGCTGGCATTGTTCTGGGTGGCCAGCCCGCGAGGCCAAGGGTCTGCCACACGCTTCCTGATGGGGCGGGCGGGCAGCAAAGCCAGTGGGGCCGGGCCCCCTCGCCGATGACTCCTGCCAGCAGGCCGTGGAGACCAGGGACCGAGCCTGGCAGGTGTCACAGTGACAGTGGCCAAGTCTGCCAGGTGGCCACAGTGTCCAGTGACCAAGCCTGCCAAGTGACCAGTGTCCAGTGACTGAGCCTGGCAGGTGACCAGTGTCCAGCGACCGAACCTGATAGGTGGCCACAGTGTCCAGGGATCGAGTCTGGCAGGTGTCAACAGTGTCCAGTGACTGAGCCTGGTAGGTGACCATAGTGTCCAGCAGCTGAGTCTGGCAGGTGACCACAGTATCTAGTGACCAAGCCCGGTTGGTGACCAATGTCCAAGGACCAAGCCTCGCAGGTGACCACAGTGTCCAGTGATCACATCTGGCAGGTGACACAGTGTCCAGGGATCAAGTCTGGCGGGTGGCCACGGTGACAGGCGTGGGTCTGACAGGTGTGGGTGAGCAGCCCTGCCTCAGAGCCCTGACCCAACCCCCAGAAGCCTGGGCTTTCTGCGTCTAATTTGTTCGCTTGTTTCCTGGGGTCGTGTGGCCTGCTGGGCAGTGCTTAGGGCTCCCGCTGGCTCTGTGCTCAGTAGACTGACCGGATGTGGGGGTTCGAACCGGGGTCGTGCCCAGTGTGGCTGCCTGCCAGCAAGGGCCTTCCCTCCCCGTTTCCTCTCTGACACATCTCCCAAGCTCCCGAAAATCTCAAATCATCTCCCAGTTCTTTTTTTTCTTTCTTTCTTTTGCTTTTTGGGTCACATCCAGCGATGTACAGGGTACTCCTATCTCTACACTCAGGAATTACTCCTGGCGGTACTGGGGGACCATATGGGATGCTGGGAATCGAACCCAGGTCGGCCTGTGTGCAAGGCAAACGCCCTCCCCACTGTGCTATTGCTCCAGCCCCAGTCTTCCAGTTCTTTGCCTTCATGTCCCAAAGGGAATTACAGGGCTAAAGCTTAGGGCCGGGCCAGGGTTTCCCCCAGATCCCGTGGGGAGGCCTCCCTGCCTTCAGAGAGGCAGCATTCTGCGTCCAGAGGGGCCTTGTGGGCTCCGTGTGGGGATCCAGTGTGGGCCCCTTTCCCTCCCCCGACTCTCTATGGCTGCAGATCCTTTTTCTTCCCTGCTCTGTTTGCAATGTGTCTCTGCCTCCCATGTCCCTGGTGTCCCTGAGGCTGCTGGCCCTGGCCTCGCTGGGGTCAGGGCTGGGGGTCGCCCAAGGGGGAGGGCGTGTTCGGGTGGGCAGGAGGCTGGCACCTGCGGCAGGAGGGCCTGGTGCAGAGGCTGGGCAGGAAGATGGGCAGGCCCTGGGCTCTCAGTGATGCTACCAGATCCGCCAGACAGAGTGGCCCAGCTGGGAGGAGGTGCTCACAGTGGGGTGCTCTCCCCAAGCCAGGCACTGCGCCCGGCTTTTCTGACACCTCCTCTGAACGGAGCCCGTGGACCGTGGGCCATCCGAGAGTGGCAACCTTTTCTGTGTCGTTCGGGAGGGGGACATCCCCAGCCACCCTGGCCCTGGCTCTGCGCTCAGGGATCACTCCAGGTGGGGCTCAGGGGACCCTAGGGGTGCCGGGACGGAACTTTAGTCACTGCGCACAAGGCGAGCGCCCTCCCCGCTGGCCTGTCCCTCCCGCTCGAGAGAGGGACCTCTGTCACTGACTCCCGCCCTCTCTGACCCAGTGTCCCTGGCTCTGTGACCAGCTGCCGGGACCACACTGGCCCCTCCCAGCTTTCCCCAGTGGAGGCTCCACACGGCCAGCCTGGTCGATCCTCACTCAGTTTTCAACCACAGAAATTCCCAAAGTGACCCAAAAACTCACCTTCCCTGGGCCTGGGTCTCGGAAGGGCGAAGCTGCCCTCCTGACCCCTGCCCTCCCGACCAGCAGCTACTGGCCTTCACCCAAACGGCCGCACACAGGGGTCCCACTTAATCCCAGGAATAAAGCCCCCCCAGGGTCTCCGCTTACTCCCAGGGGTAAAGACCCCCTCTAGGGGCCCGATGACTCCCAGGGGTAAAGCCCACCCCCAGGGGCCCCCGCTTACTCCCACACAC